AGCGCCAGGGCGCTCATAGCCCACTGGTCGCGGACACACTGCGCGGCGCCTATTTCCCGCGTATCCCGGAGCCCGGGAGCTGCGGGAGGCTCCGCCGCTCCGCAGAGCCCAGGAGGCGCGCACCTCCCGCACCCGCGGGCTCTGACCGGCCAGCAACGGTGTGGTCAAGCAGATCGGAGCGCTCTAAGATATATTCGCTGCTGCTAATTCAATAATGTCTTGCTAACAGTTCAAATAGAGAAATTATTAGTTTTCTCCCAACGAGGCGGTCTTGAGTTAGAGTCTATTATAATTGTACAGTCGAAAATGTTAATCTCAATACAGGCCTAATTAATTCTGCCTTGTTGCTGACAAGTAGTTCATCAAATATCTGATTCGAAGATTTTCATAATGAGGATATTAATTAAACTATGAATAATCCAAAGGTGCTTATATTGAAACAATACCTCATTAAAATGATTAAGTCCTGATTTCGAATATTATACCTTTAACAATTGTCACCCCGCAAACACAACCTTATGGATGAGTCTGTAAATGGCAAAACGTAATTTTGGGATATATTTTTTTTCCTTGTTGGGAAAAAAAAGAGTGCCCCTCATTTTCAAACACTTCTGAAATAGGTTACACACAGCTTAATGATGATCAAAATGACTCTTTTCTGCAAAAAAAGACCCCAAAGTGCGCGTACAGCTGCAAACCCAAGAGGGTCAGCATCATTTCACTGTATTCTCTTCTTGATTACAAGCCGAGCCCATCAAACACAACATAATTACAGTAATTTCAGGTTTATTTATTCTAATGCAGTTTCCCCATCTCTCTGGTAATTATGAGCAATTTTTTCGCCCAGGGAATCTTTTTGCATTAACAAAAGAGATAACGCACTGAAAGCCAAATTTGCTGTGCATTGAGAAAAGCGAAGAAAAAAAAAATAAAATAGGTGCGAGCTGCCATCTCTGCAATTCTCCTATATTGGAGCTCTGCAAATTGCTTGCAGGTGTATGGAGCAGAGCTGTCAATAGGAAGGGGCTTCCAAATTAGCAAATGCACAATGTTGAAGTAATGAAGACAGACTTAGCAAAATTGCCAAACAACAGATACCTCTTTAATATCTTCCACCCAAAAGGAAAAAAAAAATCCCTTTGGAGTGTCCCTGCGAACCCCCTTGAATGGCTGGGGATGTTGTACATGTGTCAATCTAATTGCAGAGCACAGAGCAGCCCCTGAAACTAGAAAAAAAAAAATCAAATATCAGAGTCCAAGCCGGTTTGCATTCGATATTTGCTCCCTTCGTCAGACAGAGGGAAAAAAGAAATCCCCGTTGCGGTCCAGCTCGGCTCTCCCTGCCGCCTTCCGCCAGCCCTGCTCCTGCCGCCGGCGCAACTTTCACGTCAGAGAAAAAGTTTAATTTTTTCCCTCTGCCTAGGTCCCCTCCTCTCCCGCCTCCTCAGCTGCCCGCTCAGGAATCCGGGAACAATATTCACGTTCGCAATAAACCGACAAACAAACACTCCGAAAACAGCACCGCAAATGCCTGCCCCGAAAGAGCACGGCGACGGTCACGGGCG